CTTCCAGACAGTGGGAACGGCACGATCAGGAGACTTCCAACGAGAGGCTAACAACAACTTAGCCGCTAAGGAGGCAGACATCAGGAGCCTCAGCTGGAAGGGAGATAGGGAGAGAGAAGAGAAGTCCAGGAGAAGTTGACATTTCTTATTAATCAGTAATGACGTTTTTATACTATAGAAGATGGAGTGTAACAGCAGTGTTTGAGCACAAGCAGGGTTGGGGAAACTTTTTCCTATCGAGGGCCATTTCAATATTATAACATCCTTCAAGAGCCATATACTAAATTATGGAACACATGCATCACATGTTGTAATCTTTTTTCTGCATTTGACTCTTGGCTTTGGGTGTCAATATGCGTACTTGACCATACTTGTGTTCTTGTGTACCTGTTTTTTTTTGTCATCTTCCATTGCAAAAACCAGGTCCACTCAAGTGATAAAGTTGAGAAGTACAGAGGACAGTAAAAAAAATCCCCGAATGTTGTTCTTGGGTGTTCTTGTTGTTCAATGATACATCGGTTGCATCCTAGCCAAATGAGATCAGTCCCGTGATTCATTGTGGCCCAAGTTTGTTCTTGAAAGGCAAGTTAGCGAATCCGGTCTTGCCAAGACCACAAGTACGATCTTTGCGTGCTTGGTATTGAGAAACATGACATAAACTGAGACCGGTGTTCTGCCATTTTTTGCTGCCTTGCCAGAATTTCCTACCGCAGCAGACATTTTCAGTTATATCTGTCAGTTTTTGCTACGTTGCCAAAATTTCCTACCCATACTCCTGAATCTATATAATGATTTATGTTATCAAAATAACTTTCTTGTACTTTAGAGGGGGGTAGCAGTTTTTTACACTTAGTTTTAAGCTGCCAGAAACTGCTGCCTATAGTTTTTAGTGGGGTAGCAGTTTTTTACACTTAGTTTGATGCTGCCAGAAACTGCTGCCTATAGTGTTTAATGGGGTAGCAGTTTTTTACACTTAGTTTTAAGCTGCCAGAAACTGCTGGCAGTGGCATAAGGCTGCACTGCTAACACTAGTATTAGCCAACCTAGGTGACTAGTAATGTTACTGATGCTACCGAGTCCAAAAGAGCTAGACCAGCTTCACATCATACAAGTCTGAAGTGTGGACTCATTTTGACAAACGTTTATTTATTTGTTTGTCTGTTTGCTTGTTTATTTTACTGACTGCACAAAATGTAGTCTTATGACGTTGAATGTTCGATCCCACTGTTCTGATTTAAGTTCATATTTTATGTATATGATAGTATATTTTTAATACTATGATCATTTCAATAAAATTTGAAAAATCAGAATATATTGATTTGCTTATTGTATCGCAACAGATTGCAATATTGAATTGTAACCCGATGTATCATGATATGCATCGTATCGCCGGATTCTTGCCAGTATACAGCCAAACTATTTTATTTCTCATAAAAAAGTAATTTCTGTGTAATTTTTTTTTTTGTATTCATGAAATACGTCGTGGGCCTAGGTAGTATATTTACATCTTTTGTATACTTCCGATATTTGCACATTTTCTTTGCTGCTGTTGTGAGACCCTGCACACTAGTTTTTCCACTCAGCTGTGCTTTACTAAGTGTAGTGTGATGTCATTACTTTTACTTTGTAAATACGGCAAGGGTACTTATTTTATTATTAACCAACTCATTGGTTCCCCAGCCAAAGCCATTGTAAACTGCCTTTGCGCTGAGTTGTTGAGCCACTTCTTTCCCTCTTTTTCTCTTTTTCTCCTAGGCTTTCACTTTAGGGTCATGTAAAGCAGAAGAGCCATGTCAGCCTAGGATCTCATCAAAGCTCTTCACCTTTAATGTAGATCGAGCACATTTGGAGAAGGGCAGGAGGCTGGGGAGAGGTAAATCCTTGAATGTAAAACTCAAAACATACTTTTTGGGGTATCTTTCCTCATTTAACCCTCATAAATTTATTAATGATTCTTCTTAAATTTGCTGGCATTGCTTTTGCAGACTTGTCTTGACAACACTTGACAACAAGTTCATTGCTATCATACGTGTTCATGAATGTTTAGTCTTCTGCGTTGGTTTGTTTGTTTGCTTAGCAGTGTCTGGGAACTGCATCAAGGTTTGTTGTTAATTAATGTTTCTTCTTGCAGTTCTGTATGATGACTGCGGTGGTCAGCACAGGTTCCTCTTTACTTCAAAGGATTCCAGATTTAAGGTGGACTCTGATGGGACTGTCTTGATCAAAAGGCCCTTTATCCTACATGAAGGTCGGAAGATCTTCTCAGTTCATGCCTGGGACTCAAATGGTAGGAAGTTCATTGTGAGAATCAGGGTCCAGCTTAAGCCACAAACCAGCCATGTGGAAAATGTCCCTACTGAGCAGGTAGGATGTATTGAATGATTGCGGTGATTTTAAGTCCATTTTGTTAGTTTTAAGTTTTAGAGTGTGATATAGTGTGAGCTCAATGGGTGCCCTTCTGTTTTCCAGTTTGAGGGCAGTGAGTCTGTCCCAGGGCTGGAGTTTTTGTCCTCAACTGGTCTCAAAAGAAGGAAGAGAGACTGGATGATTCCTCCAATCACAATTCTTGAAGGTGAAATGGGTCCCTTTCCTAAGGCGGTAGTGAAGGTATGTCACACTTTTATACATTATTGATGCTTTGCTTTCAACTGTATCACTATGCTTCATGCTCATCCAATAAACAATATTTTGATTTTTAGGTCAGGTCCAGTGAGGATAAAGAAGTTAAAATGCAGTACTGGATTACTGGTCCTGGTGCAGATGAGCCACCTAAAGACATTTTCACTATGGACAGAAACTCTGGCAGCCTCTTCGTAACACAACCTTTGGACAGAGAGCAGTGTTCAAGCTATACTGTAAGCAGTGCTTCACTTGAACTCTTTTTAAAATGAAGATATAATTTAGAATTTTAAACTCACATATGTTCTTCAAATTACTTCTCCCCAGCTTATGGTTCATGCTGCTGCTCTTGGAGATAGCAAAGCTGCAGATCCTACAGAGATCAAAATTATAGTGTCTGATCAGAATGACAACAAGCCTGTCTTTACACAAGATGCATTTATGGGCAATGTTTCAGAAGCCGTGGGTGCAGGTACAGTGTGCTGACACGCTTCACATTGCTGCTAAAGGTCTGCTTTGATACAGACATTGCATTAGCTTGATCTATTTGCACATACTTTCTCCTAAAATATTTAGGGTATGAGATCCTGAGTGTCACGGCAACTGATGCTGATGATCCTGAGACTTATAATGCAGACTTAAGATACAGCATTTTAAGTCAAGATCCACCTCTACCAGTTCCAGACATGTTTGCTATTGATCCTACTAGTGGGCAGATCCGACTGAATAATGCTCAGCTTGATAAGAAGGTAGGTGGGCTTTTCTTCCTCTGACCAATAACGGCTCTGTCTGAACAAATGTGTGACCTGAACTTTTCTTTGCAGAAATACCCTCAGTATACACTGACGGTTAAGGTTGCTGATATGACAGGAGAAGGTTACCCAGCTACCTGTAAAGCCATAATCACCGTGACAGAATGACCGCGCTCGTCAAAATCTGTAACTTAGGGGGCCGCAGTTTAAGAAGCTGGCAGACTTTGGTGGTGGTGAAGGGGACTGAAGGTCATGTGACAGACTTTGTGCTTGTGCCCATTAAGTCCTGTGCCGCTCTGTCCTAACAGACTGTTGCCTTGCTGTCTGGTTTTTGCTTCACATTTGTGGTTTAATGGGAGTTGCTTTTGAATGTGAGATCATTCTCATGCAAAAGGCAGTGCTATGGGGCTGGGACCTTCGTGAGCTTGAGTTTGTGTATAATACAGTGCTCACAGACAGTCTTGGGACGCTTGATTCTATGAAATGTTAACATACCTGCACATATGTTCCTTACACACATCTTCTCTTTGTGTCATTTTTATAAACTGAGTCATTCAGCTCTGATCTTTTCATTTTGCTATTGATTGCAATTGTAGTAATTGGCTCTCAGAATGATACTAAACGCAAATGGTTTGGTGTTTTATGTTATTGCAAAGGTGTTACTATTTAAAAAGCACCCAATGAGACATATTGTTAGTGAGCTTCTTCACTGGAACTGCTCTTTTAGAACTGTAATTTGGGTTTCAGTGTATTGCTACTTAAAATTAATTAGTTTTACTTAAAACTCCTGGTTGTTTCTAATGTGATGTATATTTTTGTAAATGAATAAAGTAATTATTTTTTGTTATAAAACCAAAAAATTTGCAATATTTTTACTGAATTAAGCAAGCACCCCGACTTCCTGTGAGCTGTGATATATAAAATGTATATCAGCTGAACTTCGATTCATTTTCAAAATGTTGCAAAATGTTATTAAATGTGATTAATGTTTTATAGGGCTTTAACTTGCTATTATAGTGCTTTAACTGAGCTCTTTGATTTCCTGCATAGCCATGCTTAGAGACTTATAGGCTTGTATCCTCATGTATTTTTTCACTCTTCACTCTTTCATTAATTGTGATTTTAATTAGGAAGTTTTGTTAAAGACCTTTATTAAAAATGTTAAAAACAAACATGTCTTTGGAATGATGCTTTAATATTTATCTAAAGCTCCTTGATTTGTTGGTCACACTTTACTTGAGGGGACACAAATAATGTATTGCTACACTCTTACTTAATGCATTAATTAACCAGTGACGTACTGATCCCATGTCTGTTCATTATTACTTATGACAGTTCACGTATTCTATGCAGGAATTGTATTAGAAAACTGTTAACAAGTTAGTTAATTAATTTAGTTCCTGCATGACATGCTATGCTTCCAACTTTGTGGGAACAGTTTGGGGAAGGCTCTTTTCTGTTCTAGCATGACTGTGCCCCAGTGCACATCATGATTGATTAATAATGAACTAACACTTAGTTACTGGTTAGTTAATTTGTTACTTTCATGAAGAACAGCTTCTCAGAGTAGATGATACACAGCTTTGCTTGGCAATTTGATGCCTGTTTTAAGGAGATGGCAAGAATGAAAATATGCAGATCAAGCTTGGTGTGTTGACCATAATCTTTGTGAAAATCTGCTCATAGCCCAGTATATTGTCAGTATTCCTGTATCCCTAATGACATTAAAGGGACATGGTGATCAAAGAAAACCCTGAATAACTTATTCATTTTTATGCCCTTGTCTGCTATGCTTGCATTTAAGAATAGATGGAGTTGTAATTAACACGTGCACAGACCTGTCAAGTAATATGATACTAATGCTGAAGTCTGTCGGTGTAAACCTGCTCATCCCTGCCAGTTTCATTTGGGTGCCTTTTTGAAACTCCTTACAATATAGGCTTGTGGTTGTCTGGCGCCTCCCTCTGGACACCCGAGGCATTATGGTTTTCTATGGACGATTCATGCTGCTGTGCCTGGTGGTCTGATGTATGAGTCTGGGTTAGGCTGATTCCAGGAAATTTTTACCTGACTGACTGCATTGTGCCAGCTGTATGGTTTGGTGGAGGAGGGATAATGGTATGGGGTTGTTTATCTGGGGTTTGGTTGGCCCCTTAGTTCCAGTGAAGGGAACTCTTAATGCTTCAGCATACCAAGACATTCTAGACAAGTCTATGCTTCCAACTTTATGGGAACAGATTGGGGAAGGCCCTTTTCTGTTCTAGCATGACTATGCCCCAGTGCACAAAGCAAGGTCCATAAAGACATGGTTGGGTGAGTTTGGTGTGGAAGAACTTGACTGGCCCACACAGAGCCCTGACCTCAACCTCATCAAACACCTTTGGGATGAACTAGAACAGAGATTGTGAGCCAGGTCTTCACCTCCAACATCAGTGTCTGACCTCACAAATATTCTTCTGGATGAATGGGCAAAATACCCACAGACACACTCCAAAATCTTGTCAAAAACATTCCCAGAACAGTGGCAACTGTTATAGTTGCAAAGGGTGGACCAACTCTGTATTGATGGCTATGGATTTACAATGCGATGTCATAAAAGTTCCTGTAATGGCAGGTGTCCTAATACTTTTGCCCATAGAGTGTACGTTTGCAAACTATGGCAGGTAAAAAAAATTGATTATTGTTTAATATAATAATATGATAAATAATATAATTAACTTTATCACATATCTATCTTCTGCAATTGCTAATCCCATTCACAGTTGCAGTGGGTCCTGAAGGCTACAGGAATGCTAACCACTGTGTCACTCCACATCATCATCTAGTTAAAATAAATAAAAAAATAAAAAATAGAAATAACAACAATAGACTATGTACAATATCAGATGTTTATGAAGTCATAATGTGTTATTTATTTGATGATGTTAACTTTTCATCATGTTAATTTTGATACCCTAATAGGAGAAAACTATGAACCTTGATTTTGAATAGAATTTAATTTATATACTGAATATACGGCTATAAAATCATTTTTCATGGTTTTGCAACATGATCGTATATGCGATTAATCCCCAAGGTGTGTGATTAATCGCGATTAAAAATCATATGACAGCCCTATTAACAATCTTTGCTCATACTATTCTGACCCTAAGAAATCCTGATGATGTCTATGATGCCTAAATAGCACCATTATGCACTTCTAATATGAAAAGAAAATACAGGTGTTCTTGCAACAAAACAGGTGACTAACAGCCAACAGGCTTACAGAATGTACTTAGCTCTGTGTTTATCACGCCTCTACTCTTCTTTTTACAGTATTATAAAAAGATACCTTTTGCTTCTTCGTTTTGAAACATTCGCCATCTTCTCGGCACTTCATTTATGAAATTCTTTATTTCTGGTCACACCGTGCTAACCCAACGGCACCCCTGGCACCTTTCCCCTCCCCCTACATTGCGACTGCATGGCGCTCAACATCTGAGACAAGTGAAATCGACGAGTTGGTGCCACCTCAGAAGTTGGAGCCCCGCATCATGTAGCAGTTCCGTGCCAGCACCACAGAGGTAAAAGTTCTGGATGGGGCATAAATTTATTCTGCTATCCTTACAAGAGAATCATACACAGATAAATTTAATATGCCAGGAATTGTTGAATTATCCCAGAGGAAAATTTTACTGCCTGGGGTTTGTTCTTCTAAAGCTTGCTTAGACAAAATTGTGATTCTCGTTTTAACCTCATTTTAGTTGCTATTTCGTCTGATACGTTTCTCCTACAATCTTCTATGAGAAATAAAGTAGACATACGTGAGGCAGAGGACAGGACTAATATTTGAGACAAACATCTTGCCAAACTTGACTTGGGCTCTTTAATGAGCAACACTGGAGCCAAAAGCTACACTCATGGTGGAGACTTGAACCTTAGTCTCTAGATGGGTGAAACAACAGTGGTACCCATGGCACCAGTTTGTTGACCTCACCTACTATGTCCATGACATAACATGATACACAGGGTCCAGGCTCTTCAGCGACTCTGGCCAAATACGGCATTGAACTTGAGGATAAAAAGAAAACAAACAAGAAAAAGATCAACTTTACTAGTAAATGTAGTTGCAGAAGTACATATAATAGTTGAAGCAGTACTTGATAGCGATGAATCACTATTTGAAATTTGTAAAGCAATAAAGTACAAATGCTTATTTTTGCTACACAAACCAGCACAAACCTAACACAAACAAGTCATTTTATTTTCTGATCATATGGGTGCAAGTTTCATACAGGTATTTGATGAGAATAGTTCATAACCAGTGCTCTCTATTTTCTCCATTGTAGATCAAAATGAGACACAAAAGTTGAGGAAGTCTGAGGTTAATATGAGATTTTGTGTGTCTTTTTGCTGATGAAAAATGAGACAGGAGAAATATGCCATACTGTCATTTTGGTTCTGCACATATCTGTCACAACATGGCATGGCGGGCAGGAAAAAGAGTGGACGACCCACTAGTGGCTCCGAGATAAAAGGGGTTTATTAACAAGATTGAACAAAACAGGGAAGGCACAAAATAAAGGACCGCAAGGAGTCAGAAACAAACAGGGGAAGAAATAAGGAATTAACTAAAACCATAAAATAAACACAACTACAGAAGTGAACTAAACACACACAGGATGAACCTATGACCAGAAAACCAAAACAGAACATAGCAAATGCGGCATACACAGAAAATCAGAAAATACTAATAACAGATAGGGCTGACCTAAGATGACCTAAGATGAGTCTTGAACCCATAATCAAAGGGTTCACAATCTCCCACCCACCACAATCTCCCAATCTCCCATGATACTTCATGGGGGGTTGGTGTGTGTGGTCCAGAGGGTTAGGATGCTGGGTTTGTGATCAAAAATTCCCCAGTTTAATCCCAGACCCAGCAAAGTGATGTCACCATAGGAGGCTATCAAGCAAAACCCTCCGCTGGCCCAGATTGGGTGACCCTGCTTTCTCTCAAAAAATGTAGACCTGCTGCTTTGAATAAAAATAGCATCTAATAAATAAATAAAAAGCCAAATAAATAAAAATGCAAAATAAATGTTTATTTGACTTTTGGCTAAAATGTTGTTATGGTTTTTATTTTTCATTAATTAATGAACCTGTTGAATTCTGGAGATTTTAGTCAACTTTGCACAATTTTGTTATCTACACTGTTTTTTATTCAGGGGTAAGACCTTGGACATCTGGCACCACAAACAAGTTAGTTTGCACTGTTAATATCAGATAACGGTATAAATCGACTGTGATTTGCCTTAGACTTTGGGCAGAAGACATTCTTTGTGTGTAACATCAAACTATTCTACGTGTTCCTGTGTCTCTCACTATTTCCTCAATTGCACATTTAATTAGTTTGATTAGGTGTGCAAATATAAACTTTCATACAAGTAAATTTTCTTTAGACACTTCTGAAAATATACAGACTTGATCATGAGGATGTGGGTGCTGGGAGTGATCCTTTCCTTGGTCCAGGTAAGCTGGCCCGGGTCTAGACTGCTCAGACTGGGAGGGCGGGGGGGGGGGGGGGGGGCAGTTTAAAAAATTAAAAATTTTGTGTGGAAAGCTTTTCAGATAATGGACTATACTACAGTGCAGTAGCGGCTTGTGACCAGAGAAATAGGGGGGGGGCATGGACATACAGTATTCATATTCCATGTTTGAACTATTTGGGAACTCAGCATTATGCTTTCAGTCATCTCTGTAATCAGGAAAGAAACTACTGTCGTTAATTATTATGATGATTTTTGTAAGGTTCTTTGAATAGAAGTTTATGTTAAACTTTGACTTAAAAGCTTTTCTATTGATCTACTGGCATTTTGAAGGCAAATCTGGAACTCAAAATCATGAGCTGATATAAAAACATAGAGTAGAACATGTACCATGAACAGTATTATAGTTGAAACATTAAAAGCTAAAATATTCAAACCGTAGCCTCCTGAGTCCCGGGCTTTTGTTTGGTGTGCATGTTTTATTTCCTTTAGCTATTTGGGATTAGTAGGACCTCATAATCATAAAAACCAAACATTATTTTTTTTTTTTAACAAATAGTAGTTTTAAACAAAAATGATGTCCTTATATGAGGACGCAGGGTCTCAGGAGGATAAACTAGCTTTGCAAACAAAGATGGAAACTACCCGGCTACCTGCACTGTGTTGGTGCGAAGTGCCCAGTGCCCACTCGACCCCAAGGCACCGGTCCCGAAGCTTGGCTATTCGTGATAACGGCAGCTTTGATTTAGGAACCAAAAATCGTTGCATGACGTTGATGGCTGTGTGCAATTTAAGTGAATTATAGCACGTAATCTATCCTAGATATAGCTGTCTACAGGGTAACCCCTCACAAAGGAGCGCTGATATGAACGGTAGCGTTAACTGTGAAACGTTAAATACAGTAGTGCCCCCATATCCGCGGGGAATATGCTCCAAGACCTACCTAGGATTGCCGAAACCGTCGATAGTAGCGAACACTATAAATAATATGCATACATACCTATAATAAAATTTAATTTAAAAATTACACATAATAAGACATCAACAACACTAACTAATAATAAAACAATTATATTATGCAGCCAGGACAGGCACCAACAAAAAGATCGAATAACCTTTAACAAGAAAAGGTAATAATTTATTCTGCCCAATCAGCAAATCGGAAATCAGGACGTTCTGATAGGACGCATGAAATAAACATGATTAGTAGATTCCGATGGCACGGAATAAAGTTGAGCAATTGGGTGGACTGAGCAGAATTTTGGGTGGGGCCCCTGCTCAGTTCTGGATTCGGCCGTGCAGGTAAGCAAGCTTTTGCAACTTTTGTAATTTGAGGTTTTGGAAGTTGGAGGTTGCTTTTGTTTTTTCATTGCAAAACTTAAAAAGTATGTAAACAATGAACGTGTCCTTGGGTAGCTTTTTACATCCATCCACACTGCAGAGAGCAATGTCTCAGCCTGGAATCTTTCCTAGGCATACAACCTTTGGTGTACAACCTGGTGTACAACCTTTGGTGTACAACCTTTTTTAATCGTCAAATAAAATCTTTATATCATTGGGAAACTATTTGTAAATTTCCATATTTCAGGTTTTCACTTTTGGGTCCGGCGAAGAGGTAAAACCATGTGCACCTGGATTCTCAGAAGAACCTTACTTCCTCAAAGCAGATCAAAAATATTTGGACAAGGGAAGGACAATAGGGAAAGGTAAACTAATATTTTAGATTCTGACTTACCGTCAGCCTCAAAAGTGCAGACAGTGAATAGATGATGTCGTGGAAGTCAGTCTGGTGAAATGCCATCTCTGAACTGCCTATCGTGTGTCTGCCATGTAATGGAATGACGTCCCATCCAGGGCATTCCTGTACTGTTTGGGACAGAATCCAGTTCAGCCCTAAAACCCTGTACTGGATACCTTGGTTAGAAGGTGGGTGCATATTAATGTTTGTTTCTTCTTGCAGTCCTATATGATGACTGCAGTGGGCGCCAGAGGTTCCTCTTTAACTCAGCAGATTCCCATTTTGAGGTGGAATCAGATGGGACCGTCTTAATAAAAAGGCCCGTGACCTTACATGAAGGGCACAAGAGCTTCGTTGTTCATGCCTGGGACTCAGTGGGCAAGAAGGTCACTGCAAGAGTCACGGTGCAGCTTGAGCCACAGACCAGCCATGTGGTTCTTGGTGTGGAAAATGTCCCAGCTGAACAGGTAGGATGTATTGAATGATTGTAGTGATTTTGGTCCATTTTGTTTCAAGTCCTAAAGTGTGATTAGTTTATACTTCATTGTGTCCTTCTGTTTTCCAGTCTGAGGACAGTGAGTCTGTCCCAGTGCTGGAGTTTCCATGGTCCTTGGCTGGTCTCAAAAGAAGGAAGAGACAGTGGATCATTCCTCCAATCACAATTCTTGAAGGTGACATGGGTCCCTTT